AGAGTGACAATTTTACAACCTGCTACAGGAGTCATACTATAACTACTATAATAAAAGCCAAAATAAAACTGATCATGCTATCAGCTTAATTTCATCAAGCAACATAGGCTTCAATCCAAAAATATATCCCAGTGCAAAAGCAAGTCATGGACCACAATTAGCATCCCCACATCCACCATCTCGGTTGACGGTACCTGAAAATTGTTAGGAGTGAGACAATGCCCAATAGGAAAATTCTAATGATGCCTCAATGAGGTTTTGTTCTTTTAATTATAGACTATGTTGTATATATCAGAATTTTATATTTTCATACAAAAGAACAGACAAAACTCATTGTGAGCTAACAAAATATTCAGGAAATTTGTTAAAAAAAAAAAAAACATTTTCTTTTCTTTGGTACAATTCATCGAACACCTTCAACTCATCCCGGAGTGTCCCGTACTGTCACTCCCACACCGATTAGTGTGTAAACATCTCCCAAATACCCAAACAAGGGTCTACCACTGCAGGTTTTGGGACTTTCACCCTAGGGTAGCTCGTACCCTCTTTTCCCTTTCGAGACTTCACGCACCCAGTCTCAATTCACGCAAGAAAATCTGTTCTCATGATGTCTACTGTACCAACTTAGAAGTTCAAACTTAAAGGAAGTCTACTAAATTTGTTTCTTGTGCACAAACCAGTAAACATCTCACTTTAGCACAATATTTATAAAGGGATTTCATAAAACCTTAACTGGAAGTACCCTTATTTTTAAATAATTAAAGAAAAAAATTAGTTTTTAACATGATATAGACAATGCTTGTCTTAATCTTTCAAAAAGGAAAAATCAGAACCTACACATATTAGAAAACATGACATTCAAAAATTTTAAGTATAACAACTAGAGAGAAATATTTCATGAGATTACAGAGAAAGAAATTTCAATATAACATATAGGACTATCAAAGAAATTTTAGAGAATGAAAATCTCCCAAAACAGCAAAATTAGATAATCCCTACGAATTATATAGATGAATAAACAACTCCCCAGCCTTCCTCGGCCTCCCTTTTTCTTCCTCTTTTCCTTGCTCGATCTTCCTCTTTCCCTTTTCTGCTAGTTACTTTTAGATACTCTTACATGAAGAGAAAATATGTGGAAGGGCCTAAGCTTAGTGTCTTGGTGTCAATCTTAGAAAGCAAACATGTCCTTAGGATGCTAGGAATAATGACAGGTGTTTCCCACTAATATATAAATCTTGTGTAAATTGCAAGTGTTCCTCACCATCTAATTTAAATACAGAGGAACAACAATACTTCCCCACAATTTCCTCTAATAATGAACCCGCATAACTTAGCTAACTAATTGCATCTTTAGCCTACCCTTCTACCTAAAACAAGGAAAATAATACAACACCACTATGGAGAAAAAAAAATAGTTTCAGCATAATAGAGATAAAACAACTTAACTCACAAAGAATAGGAAAATAAATCTTGATGCATTTTAAATAAAAAAAAAATTCATGTGGCAGCAAGAGAAAAAAAAATAATTTCAAAGAAAAAATAATTTACTTAAGAATATAAAGAACCTAATAAAATAATATATAAAACAAATAAGATTAGTAAATTAGGTATTTGACTTTTTGTAAAAATAAAATAAAATAAAATAATGAGACAAAATAAAGAGATGGGAGAAGAATGACAAAAATAAGGATAAACAACATTTTAATAGTATTACACAATTTATTTGTCTATGTTATTTCAAATCGAATTATTATCTAACTGGATCGACCATAATTCATATCTGATTTTTCTAGCTAACGAATTATCAAATTCAGATTACTAACGAGTTATGGAATTGAATATTCTAATTTTTTACTTTGATTCAAAACAAAATCTGATGTATTGAGGAGGCTAGTAATGCTATTATGGGAGTCCTCTCATAACAAGATGTATGAGCTCTCTTACGGAGCAACTAGATTAAGACAGTTTATTGATATTTGTGAAAAGTCAAATAATTTTTTTCTTAAATCTTTTAATTCACTGTTTAAGTAAGGACGTGAAAGAACTCTCATATTACTACGTAAGTTTGGAAAAATTGTATAACATTATTTTTAAAGGTTGGTGTGATTAAGATTATTTTCTGTCACAGTGTGTAATTATGTTAAAATTCAAAGACAGCTAGTGAAATTTACTTTAAATAAATTTTCATTTTCAAATGAGATAAATTTATTCATGAGTAAATGATAGGCAACGCGAAAGAGAAAACGCAAAAACTTCCGAATTTAATTTGACTAGGTCACGTCAAAGTTAAATAAAGAAAGAGTCATATCTTACATGGTATAACTGGCTAACTGTTACAATGGGTCATTTATCCCACATCGAATCTGAATGGGAAAGTGATTGGGTATAAGTGGGTAGGTATGCAACACTACCTAACAACTGTTGCTTTTGGGTAAATGAATAAGTGCCTACCCATTACAGTTGATAGCAAAGCCAGACCCAGTCTTTGATTTGGTGCCACGCCAAATGCCCAATCCGAAAGGCGTCCGAGTGAGCTACCTCGGGTTGGTATAAGGGAAAGGGAAAAAGGAAGAAAAGAAAACAATAAAAAGGAAAAACATGGTGCTTCCTTTTTCCCCTCACAAACATGAAACTAAAAATTCCCAAATTTTTTCATTACCAAAATCTTAAATCGCAATATATAACAAGTATACATAATATTGTATTTGTTTTGTTAAAATCAGTAATTAAGGAAGTTTTGACTGTTAAAATGATTTGATATATTCAAACTGTATACTTCTAGGAATTTTTACTCTGGAAACAGGTAATTTTCGGTTTGTGATTATTTTATTTTGTTCTCTCCCTCTAATTATGGAGATTTTTTAGTTTACTATTTATGAGAGGAAAGAATTTTTTTTTTTCAAAACTCTTTCTTCCATTCTTTTTAGGCCATTTGCACCAGCCTATCCGGATTTTGACTCTAAAAAAATGCCATTTCACCTTTTCCAAGAGTCACGTTAGCAATTCCAAGAGCCACGCTAATAACTTTTGCTCTCCAGAAACATGCACTCCATCAGGCTCTCCTAATTTTTGCTCTCCAAAAAAATATATATATATAAAATTATTGTTTCAAGATTCGCTCCCATAACTTCTTCTTATTTTGGTCTGTCCCCATAATCACATCAGAAGTAATGGACATCCACGCCTAACATAAAGCCTCATCTTCAACCTTGGTCCAATTATTATTTTGGATAGCGGGTTGTTTTGGTAGGGGTTTTGAGTTACTTGATTGTGGAACACTAGTACCACAATATTGATGAGAAGTTTTGGGATGGTTGACGAGAAGGAAATTGAGAATCTCCTCCATAATAATTGATATTATCTTCGGAAAATGGTAAAAACTCATCGTTTGATGGGTTGAATTGGGTGCTGTAATAAAATGGATGTGGAAGATCCATAGAATTGAAATGATCGAGTTTGAAAATAATAGCTAAGATTGAGAAAATATAAGAAGAAATAAGTTGAATGGTAGATAATAGAGATGTTTTAGATGTGATGAATGATGGTAGGAGTTGGAGTATTTATAGAAGAAAAGTGATTTTAAAATTTATAATTAATTATTATTATTTTTTTAATAAAGTTAATTTTTTTTTGAATTTTTAAACTTTTTTTTAAAAAAATTATAGCCGTTAACCTTAACTGTCAAATACACTATTTATGGTACACATTTAAAATTTAAAGCAATTTTTTTTTTGAAAAAAAACCAAATTTTTAGGGGAAAAAAAAAAAAAAAGTTTTTTCATTTAATTTTAGAACAAATAAATTTTTTTTTTTGGACAAACAGTGTCTAAACAATATATTTTTTATTTAATAAATTTTATTTAATTTAATTTTTTAAAAAAGAGCTCAAAATAACCTATTTTTAGGTTTTTTTTATAAAAAAAACATACGGCTACCTTAAGCATTGTTCAGTACTGTTCAGGCAAAATGGGTGCTATTTTGCAAAAGTAAAAAAAAAAAAAAGTATCACGATCGCAGACCGGCTAAGGCAAATTGAGCCCCCCAATTTTAAGCTAGGTAGTGACAAAACCAAAGAGCCACTCTCTCGCTAAAATTAGGCTATAGCTAGCCCGCTGCTCATGGCTTTAGGCCATCTACACCAGCCTCTCCGAATTTTGGCTCCCTAAAAATGCCACATTATCTTTTCCAAGAGCCACGTCAGCAGTTTTCGCTCTTCAGAAACATGCACTTCATCATACTTTCCAAATTTTCGTTCTAAAAAAAAAATAATAATAAAAAATTAAAATTAAATTTTTTTTAATTTTTTAACTTTTCCTAAACGGTTTTATTGTAATGGCTATATTTTTAAGTAGATGGATTTGTTATTTTAATTATTTTTTTTTTTACAAAAAGTTTTTTTAAAAAAATTATAGCCGTTAAGACACTACTTGTGTCGTCCAAACAGTGTCTTAACGGCCAAATGCATTATTTTTGGTACACATTTAAAATTTAAAGCAAAAAAATAAATATAAAAAACAAATTTTAAGGAAAAAAAACAAAAAAACAAGCTTTTTAAATTTATTTTTGGCCCAAATAAAATTTATTTTTGACAAACAGTGCCTAAACAATATATTTTTTATTTAATATATTTTATTTTTTATTTAAAAAAAAAAGCTCAAAATAACCTATTTTTAGGTTTAAAAAAATAAAATAAAATCTGCCGAACAGTGCCGGCACTGTTCGACACACTATGGAAGGAGCAGGGAATAAGACAAAAAACGGTGCAGCAAAAACGGTGCCGTTTCGACGCAAAAAAAACAAAAAAAAAAATTCAACGATCGCGGACCGACTTGTTGAATATCGCTGACTTGCGAGCAAAATTAGGCCCACATGTTTTAGTTAGGGCGCTGTGCGCCCATTTGACCCTTGGCTCGCGAAAGTTGGGCTTTCGCGGGGCCGCTGCAGATGGCCTTAGCATCGCCTATCATTTACTCTCTATTTATTTATCAACAGAAAATAAGGTAAACGTACAACTGCACGAAACATTAAGATTAGGAACGCAAGGCGTTACAAAATTCAAATCAATGGGGTCTCATTTTAAAGTCATTTCACCAATTGCAACCATGAACATTCAAAATCAAAGATAAAGGCGTATCCCCAAATTGAACTCATCACCAAACCCTTATTAACCTAGGTGGAAACAGAAGCAACCCACTCCACAACTCTCCGCTTCTCTGGTAATCCCACAAGGGTCTGCCATTCAGGTTTGTTGTGTTCTAAAATTTCTCTACACCCTTTAATCACTTATTTATTATACGCGTGTGTTTAAATTTCATATTGTTGAAATTATTTTTTATTGCTTCGAGAATTGGGTTTCGTTAGTTCTTAGATTCATGGGTTTTTGGCCCCAAATCTCCAATGCTTCTCCCACCGTTTGGTTGCTGAGAAAATTCTGGAAAAGGAAAAATGCTAACAAGTATCTCGTTAACTAAATCGGGTAGAGTATCAAATTGTGTAGATTTGAGTTAAATGTTTTGTGGGTCTGAAACAATGGACGACGGTTTGGCTTGTTTTCATTCTTCTCAAGCTTTAGAACTTAATTACCTGAGAAAGAAAAGGACTGTTTCGCGTTCGAAATTTCATTTGTTCTTCTTTATACTATTGAATTATCAGCAAACAAACAGACATCAGTTCTTTGTAAATATATTTTAAGAATTTGAAGATCAGAGCTTAGTTTGCAATTTCATTTTCTTCAGGTTTTGTTCACTGGACTACACCTGCTTATAATCTCGTTGACAAATATGTCCCTTCTCAGTAGATTCTTTTACAGACGACCCCCGGATGGCTTGCTTGAATTCGTAGACAGAGTATATGGTAGTGAATTTCTGGTCTCTAATCTTAATTGTTAATATTGATTCACTCTATTTTACGTGTTGGAGTTGCATATACACATTTTGATCTCTTTTGTTGGTATTTTTGTGTATCTTTGCAGTTTTTGATTCTTGCTTTTCAACCGAAGTTTTGCCTGATGAAATGTACCAACTTTACTTGCATGAAATTATAACTGAATTACATGAAGGATTCCCAGAGTCATCCTTTCTTGCTTTCAATTTCCGAGAAGGTGAGAAACAGAGCAATTTTGCTGACGTTTTGTGCGAGTATGACGTTACGGTCATGGATTATCCACGACAATACGAGGGTTGTCCCCTTTTACCTCTATCTTTGATTAATCATTTTCTTCGTGTTTGTGAGAGTTGGCTTTCACATGGGAATCACCAAAATGTTATTCTACTACATTGTGAGAGAGGGGGTTGGCCCCTCTTAGCGTTTCTTTTAGCTAGTTTCTTGATTTTCAGAAAATCGCATAGCGGAGAGCGGAAGACTCTTGAAATTGTCCATCGAGAGGCTCCTAAAGGTTTTCTACAGTTGTTGTCACCATTAAACCCATTTCCGTCTCAACTTCGTTACGTCCAATACGTATCAAGAAGAAATATATCCCCAGAATGGCCTCCCCATGAACGTGCTCTTTCTTTGGATTGTCTCATTTTTCGTGCTATTCCACGGTTTGATAATCAAAATGGATGTAGGCCAATTATCCGTATTTTTGGTAGAAATCTTGGTAGCAAGGGTGGCCTGTCAACCCAAATGCTATTTCCCATGCCAAAGAAAAATAAAACTGTTCGGCACTATCGCCAGGTAAACAGATTTTGTTGCTTGCCCAATCAATTTATGTTAGCCTCTGCTACTTGTTTCAGCCAGTGCCAATACATATATTTTTCTATTGCAGAACGACAGTGATGTAATTAAGATTGACATCCAGTGTTTGGTGCAAGGGGATGTTGTATTGGAGTGTGTCCATTTAGACTTGGAACCTGATAGGGAAGTTATGATGTTTCGTATAATGTTCAACACTGCTTTTATTCGATCAAACATCTTGATACTCAACTGGGAGAACTTGGACATTCTTTGGGATTCAAAAGCGCGGTTTCCAAAAGGATTTCGAGCGGAGGTGAATTATTTAATGAAAATTTAGGTTGACTCTTTAAGGAATTTATTTGATGTATATTGCCGATGCATCTCATTGAATTATTATTTCAGGTTCTTTTTGGCGAGGTTGAGAGCATCTCTCCACCGAGAGCTCCAACTACAATTTTAAATGGTGCGGAGACAGGTGGATTGCCAATTGAAGCTTTTTCTAGGGTTCAAGAACTTTTCAATGGTGTTGAATGGGTTGATAGCGGTGATGACGCTGCTTTATGGTTACTCAAACAACTATCAGTCCTAAATGATGTGAAAGATTTGTCAATACTGCGGAACAGAGTGAGTACATATTCATCACCTTTTGACTCTGAAGAAGAAAATAATGCATCTAGCACAGCTGATAGTCTGGATTTTCTGGACTCTGAAAAGGTTAGTAACTTGACATACACTTCTGCACCGGGGGTGAGTTTCCTTGATGATCCTTCGTCTCAGGATTCTGCTTCAGATGAAGCATCTGATTCTAAGCCCTCAATAGATGCAGTGAAGCCATTTATATCACACACCGTTGAGTCAACTCTTTTGCCTTTAGGAAGTGATGGTTCACATGATGTAAACATTGCATTAACATCTTCAAATCAAGTGTCTGTTGGAACTGTTCCTTCATCTCTTCAGCTGCAATCATCAGTTCCAAGTGAAAAGCCTCCATCATGCCCGCCTGGGACAACACTGCCTCCAGTACCTCCCTCTCTTGTTTCAAATGTCCCTCAACCACCGTCACCGCCTCCTCCTCCAGCTATTAATTTCACCAAAGGACCTCCCCCTCCCCCTCCTCATATTAATTATAGTAGAGGACCTCCACCACCTCCCCCTCTTCCTCCCCCAATTAATTATAGTATAGGACCACCGCCTCCGCTTCCTCCTACTAGTTCTAGTAAAGGATCTCCTCCACCTCCACCACCTCCACCTCCACCGCCTCCCCCTATTAATTCTAGTAGAGGACCTTCACCGCCTCCACCTCCACCTCCTCCTCCACCTATTAATTCTAGTAGAGGACCTTCACCGCCTCCACCTCCACCTCCACCTCCACCTCCACCTCCACCTCCACCTCCACCTCCCCCTATTAATTCTAGAAGAGGACCTCCACCTCCGCCTCCGCCTCCGCCTCCACTGGTACCTTCCCCTAACTTCAATAGAGCACCTCTGCCACACCCACCTCCTCCACCCCTAAGTGCCTCTAATAGAGATCCTTCAACACCCTCACTTCCCACTACTGGTAGAGGCCCTCCACCTCCCCCACCTCCTCCTTCCATCTCTTCTAAGGCTCCACCGCCAGCCCCACCACCTCCACCTTTTTCCTCTAGATTCAGTCAACCATCCACGTCTGTACCACCACCACCACCACCACCACCATTGCTGCCGCCAACATCTATTGGTACTACAATTAAAAATCCACCACCACCTCCTCCACTTCCTTTAGGTCATAGTCCTAGCACTACTGGCTTAAGGCCACCTCCTCCTCCACCACCTCCAGGAGTCTCTCGGCAAGGTGCAATCCCCCAACCTCCCCCTCAAGCACCAAAGCCTCCTGGTGCCCCTCCACCTCCAAGTCGTGGTTTGGCACCAGGTCCACCTCCACCACCTGGAGCAAAGGGCTCAAGTGCGCCACCCCCGCCACCCCCATCAACTGGAAAGGGAAGAGGCTCTTTGGGGCCAACATATCATGGAAGAGCTCGAGTTTCTGGAGGTTCTTCAATTCCCCCCAAGAGAGCTTCATTAAAGCCGTTACATTGGGTGAAAGTTTCACGAGCAATGCAAGGGAGTTTGTGGGCTGATTCTCAGAAACAAGAAAATCAGTCTAGGTATGTGGATTTGAAAGTTGTATGTCATGTATAATTGTTTCATTCTGTACTATTTTGGTGGTGTGGAAGTATTATGCAAATTTCTTAAATCTTTTGGTCGAAAGTGCTTTAATCAGATTTTTAGTGTCCTTTAGTGCTTCACAGTGTTGTTAAAGGTGCGCCTAGGCTCCAGGCTCATACAGGCGCAACACTTGCGCCTGTTGTTTGCCCAGGTGCACCTTTGATAGCATTTTCTCCTGTAATATGGAATATGAATATGCTTTAATAGTAATTTAATTTTTCTATTGTGTGCCTCGCTTCACTCAGGCGTGCGCCTCACCTTGCGCCTAGGCTCAAAGGACATCTAGCGCCTCAGTGTGCCTTGGGCCTCTGATAACACTGGTGCTGGATCGTTTTAGATGTGCTAGCTTCGTGGTTGGCCATAGCATGTTAGAGGGCAATTACTGTCAATAAATTTAGTGTAGTTTCACAATGGATAGCCTTCTCTCTACTTTTGTCAAAATCGATAAAAAAAATGCACTTCTTTGCGGGCTATGTATGTGTTGGCCTTTGCCTATGTTATTTATCTATCATTATTTTTTTTTTGTTTTGTTTTTGTTTTTCTTTGGTGTCCCAGTAAATTTCTGATGTCACATGATGAAAGTTCTTGGTAGGGCCCCTGAAATTGATATATCAGAACTTGAGAGTCTGTTCTCAGCAGCTTCTGCTACAGATGGCACTGGCAAAGGTCGACGTGGTTCAAAGATCAACAAACCAGAAAGAGTGCAATTGGTTAGTGGTGTATATTTTAAATATATTATGTAATAGTTGCAGTAACTATATTTTATTATTTTATATGCTCACGAAGTTTACACCAAATAACTATTCAATAACATGTCATATTATAAACTGTTTATGGCATTTTAGTAAAAAAAAATAAAGCCATGACGTTTTTTTTTTAAAAATTTATATACATATTAAATTTTTTTTAATACGATATATTTTGATAATGTGAATTCGGTGCATATCAAGGATCAGAAGGGGGGTTGAATTATATTTATTATTGTAAGGGGTCAATTAGGTCGTGTAGTTCCAATAAATTATTAGACATGGTAAAACTTAGGTGCTCTTTGATAACATTGAAAATTTTAAGAGATGAAGTTTTTAAGTCATAATTAAAAATTGAGATATTTTTATATCTTTTTAAATTTTAAGTGTTGAACATTCAATGATAAGTTATTTTATTATTCTCTTAAAATGTTATTCCAATTTAAGTGAGCCTTCCTTTTTCAAGTGTTATTCGAATTACTTTATCAAACACACTTAATTAGATAAGAACTTATTCCGTTCACCGTAGTTAGGGATGGCAATTTGACCCGCCTCCGCGGTTACCCGCCTCGCCCCACTTCTTTTTGGCGGTTTTGGGGGACTGTTTAGCTTATTTGGGCGGAGATGGTTTGATGTAATAAAAACTCGAGCGGGTTTGGTGCGGGGGCGGGGGGAGGTCGCCTCGCCCCACCCCTGTTTAAATAAGCAAATTACTTAAGTACCCTTATTTCATTAGTATATATATTTCCCAGTATATATATTAAGTACTCTATATAACAATATTAAAGTAACAAATGAATTTGATTAGAAGGAAAGTTGCAATGGTGAAGAACTGAAGATGAGGGGGAAAAAAAAAAGAGCAAATCTATTTCAACAATAAATAAATTATGGTCTTAAACAGGGCGGAGCGGGCAGGAGTTGAGTCAGGAATTTGTTTTAGGGGGGGCACCGTATTAAAGATGATAAATTATATTCAAGCGAATAGTGATGCAAGACAATAAGTCAGAAAATAGAACTGTAATAATGGTGGAATAATAGCATTTAATAATTTGAAAAATAATAATTTAAAGAAATTGGAAACATAAAATACCGACCTTAAAAGTCCTTTTAGTAACAAATTTAATTACCAAACTTAGAAGAGAAAAAAAAAAAAAATATAGTTTGAATAAAGGAATGCAACTTTTTTTTAAAGAGAATATAAAGAAGAAGAAGAAAATTAATTGGCCCAAAGATAAATAATTATTTTGGGGGGCATTTTTCACTTTTTTATAAATTATTGGCCTATGTGTAATAAAAATTAATGGCCATTTTCTAGAAAAAAAATTATTTTAGGGGGGGCATTTTGAAAACTTTTATAAATTATAGGCCAATTTGTAATTAAAACTAATGGGCCAAGATGGTGCCCCTATGGGCCTATGCTGGCTCCGCCCCTGGGAGCGGGTACCCGCGGGGTAAAAATGTTAATTGGGGGCAGGGATGGGGTGGAAAGTTCCCCCGTTTTTGTGGTTTTGGGCAGGGAAAAATTAAAGATATTTTTTAAAAATAATTATTTTAGTGGGCATTTTTGTAAAATTCTATAAATTATAGGCCTATTTGCAATAAAAATTAATTGGCCTAAGGATAAATAATTATTTCAGGGGGCATTTTTCACTTTTTTATAAATTATTGGCCTATGTGTAATAAAAATTAATGGCCATTTTCTAGAAAAAAAATTATTTTTGGGGGGGGGGGGGGGGGGGGGGGGCATTTTGAAAACTTTTATAAATGATAGGCCAATTTGTAATTAAAACTAATGGGCCAACATGGGCCGGGGGGGGGGGCATGGGCCCCCCCGGGCCTATGCTGGCTCTGCCCCTGGGAGCGGGTACCCGCGGGGGTAAAAATGTTAAACGAGGGCGGGGATGGTGTGGAAAGTCCCCCAGTTTTTGCGGTTTTGGGCGGGAACGAGGGAGGGGTTATTAAACGGTTGCGGGGGCGGGGGAGAGTACACCCGCCCCTATTGCCATCCCTAACCATAGTTCTTTAAGTCATAAACCATTTATCTAATGTGATGGAGAATGAGCTATGATTTTCATAGATGAGCCGCACGCATAGTTGTTAAAGGCGCGCCTAAGCTCCAAAAAAGCCCCAAGCTCATCAAGGCTCAACTAGAGCGCCTTAACGTACTACAGGCCAAGCTCAAAAAAGGCGCGCCTTGTATTTTTTTAATCATTTATTCGTATCATTTTCTTTTTTACTTAATAACTACTAAATTAAAAGGTTCTATATCATATATCGTATTGTTTAACCTTATGAAATATTTGACAAAATTCATAAATTTATGGTTTACCACTAACATTAACTACAATTATTGCTTGATTATGATTATATATAATAATATATGTTTAACTATGCATTATTATATACACGCGCCTTATTTCGATCAGGCTCGCGCCTTATACTGCGCCTTGCGCTTAGGCTCCAGAAGGCCTTTGGTGCCTTAGTGCGCCTTGAGCCTTTAACAACTATGGCCGCTCGTGTTCCGCCTCTACTTTTGGAGAAGGGGTAAAGAGAAATGAAGTTAGGAATTGATGTAAATTAGGGTTTTTTTTAAAAAAATTATGCCTATTATTATTGGTAATGTTTTGATTGTTGGAATATTAGAGTACTTTATTATTTAGGGTGTTGCTATGTCTCTGCCTATAAAGGCTCTTTTGTAATCAGACAATTCAGCTTTGGAATGTTGAATTTTATCATGAGTTTGAGAACTCTTCCGCTTGTCTTCTTCTCCCTCGTGTTCTTGGCCTATCCCCTTCAATCTATCTTCTCATCCCCTTCGTCTGTCTTCTCACCTCTTTCGTCTAGTCTCATCTCATCTTCTCGTTCTCATCCCCTTCTTTCTTTCTGGTTCTATATTAATTTAGTATTTGTACTGCGTCAATTGGTCGCAGAGCAAAAGGTCCAAGTAACCATTGAATACAAGCAACATCAAAACACCATAGACAGCACAAACAAAACACATCTACCCTACTGTTTATTCAACCATACCCGTTTCTTGTAACTTTTTTATTTGATAAGTTAACCCGATTCTCTTAACTAAACCAAAACGATCGAAACTCTCTTCCTCTGTGTTTTCTCCCTCTCTGTTCTTGCTTTTCTCGATCCCTCAAGTCTCTCTAATCTTCCTCATTCAATCCATCTTCTCATCCCCTTCGGCTATCTTCTCGCCTCCTTTGTCTACCCTCATCTCATCTTCTCATTCTCATCCTCTCTTTCATTTTGGTTTGTATCTAAACACAACTTGTCGTGTGTCAATGCGTGGAACCAATTTATTGAAGAACCAAGTGATGAAGGACTCTAGAAGTCTGGCTTTAATATTCAATCACGTCTCTTCAATCTCGAACAATCAGTGTCTCAGTCCTAAGAGCTAATATCGTAAATTTTGATTACAACTTTGTTCAAAACCTTTGTCAACAGAGTATGCCCAAACTTGTTACGAAGTCCTCACCTTTATGAAAACAACATTTTACAAATTTATGTGAGAAAATTATGATTGTTTGGAAAGAAAAATCATGAATTTTGTTTTCTTATATTATTTGTACCTTGATATTTTGTTGCAAAGAATTTTACCATTCAAGGTAACCAGATTGCTTGTAGAACTTCTAAAGCTGATTTTAAAAGTCAAGTCATCATAAGTTTGTATTACCGTTTCTTAGAGTAGATATGATCTGTCTGGCCTAAAGTCCCATAGTTTTTTCTTATGGTTTCCATGTAAATCTTGGTGTTCTCTGTGTGATTGCTATTATTCTAATTTATGTTATTTAACCACTATAGATTATTGTTTACTTGATTATCGTTGTAGGATTAAGTTTTTGTTATTGACAGTTAAAAGTTTTGGTAGACATATTCACTCCCCCTCTTGGTTTAGTTTAGGGGCTTTTTAGTTAGGGGCTTAAGCGTACTTTGACGTATCAAAGCCTAGAGCGGTACTCTGTTTAAAGTTGGTGTTATGACAAACATAGTGAACCCAAAATAAAGCCAAGAATCACGACAGAAAATAAATATGCCACACACAAAGAAAACAAGGATTTATACATGGTTTGGCAAAGCCTACGTACACAGTGGAGATCCGGCAAAAGTCTTCACTATGCAAAAATAGGAGATTACAAGTTTCAGCCCCACTCTCTTTCTCTGCAATTTTCAGTCTCTCAATACTGCACTCCAAACCCTAAGCGCCTTATATATCGGGTTACAAGAGAGTACTAATTAGGGTCCGCGACCCACAAGCAAAAAAGGGTCACAATGTGACCTCGCACCAAATTCGGGCCACGACATCACAGTTGGCATAATAGCATGCATTGGCTTTACATTGCAGCTTGAATTTTACTGTTCTAATTAAACAGACACACTTTCTCTGTTACGGAACAATTAGTTCTTGCATTATCCTGATACGGGGAAAGATGCATTGCTTTGTATTCACATGCATTTTATATTTGGTATCCATTTGACTTAATTAATTGACACACAGAATATTTTTTATTATATGTAGCAGATGAAAAGGGTATTGTTTTGTTTTTTTTGTTTTTTTGTTTTTTTTTTTATTTCCACCTCTTTTCTCTCTTTGTGAATTTTCTCTCAATACTTCTGTATGGAAAATGAGTTGCTATTTTTTGTTGTGGTTATTCTATTGTTTTGCCACCTTTTGTCAGGTTGATTTGCGCAGGGCATATAATTGTGAAATCATGCTTACAAAAATCAAAATTCCTCTGCCTGATATGATGGTAAGCTCATATTTCCTTTGCAGTCTATGTAACAAGCCATAAGTATAGCTGAATGCAATTTCTTATATTGTATTTTTCTTCCCAAATGCATCACGGTTGAAAGGAAAATGATAGGAGTTTGTTGAATCATGATTTGTGAGTAGGCTTTTGTCTCATGGACATGAGCGCTAAAATGATTAGAAGCCACATTTGCACTAAGAATTTTCTCTCCCCCCAAGAAGACCAAAGAGATGCTCAAGTTATAGCTTCGATGTTAATCATTTAGATAATTAGTTGCAATGCTGTGAAAGATATTGATTCATCTGTGATTGCAACTAGTATATTGTCTCATATTGTTGTTTTGATATTGTTATATTTATTCAGGAAAAAAAAAAAATTGTTATATTTGCAAAAATAATATTTAGTAGCTGGTAGAAGTAAATTGCAATAGACTGTGGGCTTAGTAATCTCCTTGCTATTACTTCTGAATACTAGAATAATAAGTGTCCTTTCGTTTGTGCAAAATTCATTTTAATTGCAGCATCTATATGGTCCAATATTATTGTTGATATCATTTTTCAGTCAAATAATATTTCTAATATCTAATAGAAGTAAAATATAATAGATTTTGGGCCGAATATTCCCCACAATACTATATCCGAATACTGCAATAGCATCTGTCCTTCCATTTGTGTAAAATACAACATACTATTAAGGCTATAATGCAAAATTAGGAAAAAATTTTATTTTCTTATTTCTTTTGAACACTTTGTTTGTCCTTGTATACACTGGTAATTCTCTTGTACTTGTTTATCCCTGAGGTTGATAATGTATTAGAAAACTTAATTGTAAAATATTAGTGCAAAACTCAAAATCATGCTTGGTTTCCAGAGTGCCATTCTGGCTTTGGATTCTTCGGTCTTGGACATTGATCAAGTTGAGAATCTCATCAAATTCTGCCCAACAAAAGAAGAAATGGAGCTTCTGAAGGTACTCTCTCTCTCTCTCTCTCCCCCTGCGTTCTGAATTGTAATATTTTTGACATAATACGATGATGTGATATTAAGGTGATGTCATGTTTAATATCTGGGGTTATTGAATTTTCAATAAATGTGTTCAGGTTCTGAGTGTTAGGAGTTCTAACAGCCCTATAATGTTATTCAAGGTATTGAGGGTGGACATGAGGTGGTGAGAAATACATGATGGACTATAGTTTACTGGATGATATGGCCTTAGACAGAACCTAATGCTCCTTTTTGGAAAAATAAAAAAAGTTGAATGGTGTTGATTTTCGAATTAAGTGTTCTGCTTCTTTTTTGACAAATGTGTTTGTTTGTTTATTATGTTTCTTATTGGTTTCGTTTTCTTATTTCAGAACTATAATGGGGACAAGGAAATGCTTGGAAAGTGTGAACAGGTTCTTTCTCATGTCTTCATCATGGATGCAAGTAGGATGAACATCCAGTATTCTTTTTGCTAACAAATAATGCGGTTGATAATGCAGTTTTTCTTGGAGCTAATGAAAGTTCCACGAGTTGAATCCAAGTTACGTGTATTTTCATTTAGAATTACCTTTTCTAGTCAGGTATATTGTTCTAGGACCTATATTGATGTTATTTCATCTTTGAATGCTATTATTTTTTATAGCTGGTCATGCTTATAGCTTTGAACTTGTTCAGGTGAATGACTTGAAACATAACCTGAATACAATAAATGATGCGACTAGAGAGGTATCTTTATATGTGGATTTACAAAAATAATACTGATCAAAATGCATTGTCAACCAGATCTTAAGTTGTGTTCATAATTGTAGGTAAAAGAATCTGCGAAACTGCGTCAAATAATGCAGACAATTCTCACCTTAGGAAATGCATTGAATCAGGGCACTGCTCGAGGTTTCAGTCTGCAAGATTCAACGTTTTTGTAGTCTTTGTATGCTATGTCTGCCTGATAGCTTCTGACTTTATAAATTCCTGTTTTTATACCACAGGATCTGCCGTAGGATTTAAATTGGACAGCCTTCTTAAACTGTCTGATACTCGTGCAAGAAACAACAAAATGACCTTGATGCATTATCTGTGCAAGGTAGAAATGTGCAAAATATTACTTATGAAACGCCTCACAATTTTTTATTTGCATTTTGATTTTAGTTGCTTTCCAGTTGGTCATGACTTATTTGACCTATTTTCGCAAGTTTGGAGCTAGTAATCGATTAATCATCTATTCATCAGGGCATTAGTAGTTCTTTGCTCCAGAGCAGACATTATATATTTTCTGTAAAAATGTTAGATTTTAGAAATATGACTGCTTAGACATGGTAACTATCTTCTTTTTAAGCTGGAACTTGTAAAGGAGTTTCTGATTTATGGATATCACTTAATATTCAATAATTTGACTATATAACAGATTTTGCAGGCCCACATTAATTTTTGCAAGTTGATCGTATGTACTATTTTATAAAGTTGCATAGAACTGTTTTTGTTGATAGATCGTTTATTTAATTGTCGATCATATCTTCTACAGTTCACTATATCGTGTTTCTCAATGTCCATTTATTTTGCATATTTGAATTTTCTTGTGTACATAATTCTTTTGAAGATCTTTTGGATACTCATTGATACTATGGTAAATCGCTTTCATGCCTCCCTTAGCTTCTAGCAGAGAAAATGCCGGATTTGCTGGATTTTGATAAGGATCTTGTTCATCTAGAAGCAGCCTCGAAGGTATGCTTGATATGTTGCAAAATAGGTTTGTTTGTGTGGCTTGTGATTTGTAAATAGGGTGGTCTATAGCTGACTTGTACTATTCGTTGGCTGCTTGTCTCAATGCATTTGGCCTTCATGCTAAATTGCTAGATTCAATTGAAGTCTCTGGCTGAAGAAATGCAAGCAGTGAGCAAAGGACTTGAAAAGGTTGAGCAGGAACTCACTGCTTCAGATAACGATGGTGCTATCTCTTTGGGCTTCCAGAAGGTGAGGAAAGTAATGGGATAGTGTGTTACTTCATAAAGGAATCCGCTCCCGTAAGATCATTTTCTGGCTAATTGTTGCCTAATGGGGGCTAGTTGTCTAGGTGCATCGCACAGTAAAGGCACTCATGTCTTTTTTCCATTAAATTTATATTAGCAGTTACTCTTTTAAGCAACAGTATGTTATGATGGTATCTGCTTGTGTTTTTTCATAGTTGGGAATTTTAAGGAATGAAAATTCAAGTTACTAAAACAACTCGATTCCTCCTTTCCTCCAATATGCTAAATTGTCTTTAATTTTGAGGTTGATGTTTTAAAGTAAATTTTATCTTCATCATTTGCATGATAGAGTCTCAGTTTCAGTATCTCTTGGCGTGTTTTAAAGTTCTGTTTGTTTTCCACTTGACAGTATCTTGATTGTTGGAATTATGCGTCCTCCGCAATTTTCTAACCAATCTCTACCTTGCATAGCAGAAGAGGCAAAAGAATAGAATAAAAAAATAAAACAAAAAATCAAATGACCTTGTTATACGCAACTAAGAGTCAATTCTTTGCCTTTTCAGGTCTTGAAGAATTTCCTTGATACTGCTGAAGCTGAAGTAAGGTCGCTTATTTCCTTGTACTCTGAAGTGGTAAGAAAACTTTTTATCCTTTATTTTTTGTTAGTAATCTACTGATCACCACTAAGCATTAGCATGAGTGGTATCTCCCCACCTCTTACAGAGGAGGTTGAGGATTCAAGTCCTTATTGAACAAGTGGGCATGTGAGTGTGTCTCTAACTAGAAATAAATAAATCTGTTGATCAGCACTTGTTTATATTCAAACACATATTTTGCAGGGAAGAAGCGCTGATTCACTATCTCAGTATTTTGGAGAGGATCCTGCTCGATGCCCCTTTGAGCAAGGTTTGATATTATTTTCATATCAATTAAATTGTTTAATTTTCTACAGCTGTTACATGAAAAGTCTTACCAAATTTTTTCTGTTTGACCTGTTTCTGTCTCTGATGTCAACAGTGTTCCATAATTCATAATTTCATTTACATTCTGCTATAGAGGTGTCTATATTTGTTTTTCATGTCAAAATGGAAAGGAAATTTGCATACTTCATGACATTACATACGGATCAATTTAAGGTAATAGTTGAGGCCTCGAGAATATTAATCCTGCTTTGGTGCTTTCATTACACATTGTCGTCTCAATTTCAAAATTTATTAGGTACTAAGAGGGCATATGCAACTTCAGAACACAGATTTAGGAGATGGATAAGAACATATAAAAATGGTTCTGAACAATTAAAGATATGCACTGCATTTTACAGGGACAACTAACTATATTCTGACACAATTTCAAAATCAGTACCATATAATGCGAAACAAGAATCACACCATTTTTCGTAGACTGATTAACTTGTAAAGGTGATAGATCTACATCATATTTGGTCACACTAACCCTAACGTGTACATGAATCTAATTTCTTCTAAAATAGAGGGTGGCAAAATTAATGCAAGGGAAGAAGTCACTTTTATAAAATGCTTGATTTAGAGTATGTAAGAGATGTCGTTTTGAGGTTATCAGGAAAAATGTAAGTCACATACTCTCTGCACAGTTAATGGCTCATTAAGTGTGGGTGAAGATAGAAAAAGCCTTGATTTGGGTGATGCTATTACATGTATACTTGAATCAGTAATATCTCAAACACTGCTGGAGAAGAAAGCAAAGAAACCATTGGTCAAGTTCTGTGACCCTTGCTGTGGCTAATGCATCTGAAGGTCTTCAACCAGTTGGAGATGGTTGGATTCTCAATATCATCATCAAAATAAATATTAGAAAATGCATCACCACAACGTTCCTTTTTCTGAACTAGAAATTAGTAAGCTAACTTTTGCAACTATTCTACTCATTCGCCCTAGTGTTAACCTTCTTTCAGCTTCCTGATTTATCTCTTTCCTGCCTTGAATCAGATAGTGTTGTTTTGTTCCTTGCAGTCATTGAACTCTTGAATTTGCTTCCAAAAATTTCGTTTTGCAATAATATACATTTGATCTGTCAATTTTTAAGTACCACCAAGGGGTGTAGCCAGTGATATCTCCTCTTCCTCCCAAAATGGAAGGTGAATGTGAGTCCCCTTAGGGACAAATGGTGGGTGTGCAAAAAAAAAAAAAAAAAAAATAATAATAATAATAATATTTCAATTTTTAAGTATAATTATTTTTAGCCAAAATCCCTTTCCCAGAGCTATTTTACATTCTTTAACTTGTCCGCTGCGTCACTATCATCATAATGTTTCAGAAACTTCCTTTTGGGCAGGACGGATTTACCATGTGCTGCCCCCTGATTTTTTTTTGCCCTTAATTTATATTATATATTTTTGTGTACTTTTACAGAATGCCCCCCTAATTTTCAAAAGTGTTGGTCAGACACCCCCTTTTTTCTTTGCCTAAACTCCAAAATATCAAACTCTCTCTCTCTCTCTCTCTCTCTCTCTCTATATATATATATATATATATATATATATATTATTAGCATAGCATCAAATCTTTTACTTTTATTTTTATTTTCCCTTTTGTTTCTTTGTTTCTTTGATATATATTTTTATCTATTTTTGTACTTTTTTGTATATTGTTTTCTATCTTTCAAGGTTATGCTAATATGTTTGACTGTTTGTTTTACTGAATACATGCATTTTGGTATTTTATGTTATTTTATTTTTCTAGTTGAAACTCGCACACCCATATTTTTGTATTTTATTCATAACTTGATTTAGTACTTCCTCCCTCCCTCCTATTTAAGTGTCCCTTTTTGGGAACCCAACTTTTTAAGATGTGCCTTTTATTATATTTTTTTATTATATTGGTAGTGAATGAATTACCAAATCTATCCATGATGGGTCCATAGTGTTGTGATGATGTTTTACATTTAATTGTTTTTATAAGTTCAATGCAAGAAGGGTAAATTGGGAATGTTATAAAATATAGTACATTGACTTTTGAATTGGGACAATTATTTTGGGACAACTAAATATGGAAAGGTGAACATTTATTTTGGGACGGAGGGCTTATGTTCAATTCAAATAGTATTTTAAATCCATTGAATATGTTGATGTTTGTTAGTTTACATTTTGTCAAACTGAAAATAGCTTATCTTAAAGAATTGCGATACAACATTCCAAGACAGGTATAAGATATTCGGACTGAATATCGTTATCTATCTTAAATATAATTTGCGTGTTTCTATATATTTGTCATGCTAGTTGATTTTTTATTTTAGGGTAAAGTGCATTAAACCTCCCAGAACTATGACCAGATTGCAAAAAAAAACCCCTGAAGTAAGCAAAACCCCCTGAACTATCATTTTGCTGCACACCGTTAATGACCCGTTAACAGAAATAGTAAATTACCTTTTAGCCCTAAAGTTGAATGACGTCATTTAGAATTTCAGCTGCTGATGTGGCAAGTACAATCTTAATTTCCAATAGAAAATCGAAAGCACATCAACCTCATCAGTTATCACAATTGTTTGATTTGATTTTTTTTTCTACGCCAAACAGTCCCTCACTTTCATCTGTTTCAGTGATGCTGTACAAACCCAGATTGCCTCCATCATGCATACTGATCTCTCTCAGCACTAAGAAATCATTGATCTATGCCGAAACTCAATGCCCTTCAATTTTCTGCATGTATACCACAAACATGTATGGTATCTATATATACATATCCATTACGATTTATGATCGACAAACCATCTGCATCGTTCTCTAATTCTCTTGCATTTTATGTGTTCATCAATATATGTATGCATATTGTATATGTATTGCTTGTGCTTTTCAGGTTTATGTATGTCTATGGATCATTGATGATATATTTCCTCTTTAATTGGACCAACATGGTCTTCCATCCCTGCCCAGATCAAACTAAAACCATCAAAATTCAAGCAAGTCTCTCATCTGGGTCTCTCAATTGCTCTAAAATCATCAATTTTTGTGAGTATTTCGTATAGCTCTAAAATCTCTCAATTGCTCTAAAATCTTCAATTGCTCTGGGCTACCCGAGTGCCGGCACACCTTGAAGAAGATGTACGGTAATCTGCTTTAGAGGATGAAGCTATTAACTTACCGAAAACAAAAAGAGTGAAGCTATTGAGCCCTCTGTTTGAGGAATTGAACTACGGCGACGAAGAGCTTGGCAATGATGAAGTTTGAGATGACGGCGATGATGAGGTTCAAGGACTTGAATCATTAAGGGTTGCTTTGAATTCAGCTAAAGAGCTTATTTGATCACACCTACCCATCAAAGAAAACCTCGAACGCCCACCAATCTCCAAGTTCTCCATCTGAGCCGTCGGTTTGGGCTCCGATGGCCGGATCTTTCTCGGCGTCAACCTCGAATTCCCCGGCCTCCCCCTCCACCACAGAGTCGACACCGAGCAGTTCCTCGCCACCAACCTCGCTGTCCACGGCGAGCCCCGCCTCCTCTACACCGCCGTCTCCACCGCCCCATGCGGCCACTGCCGCCAATTCCTCCAAGAACTCCGCAACACCTCCGACATCCAAATCTTCATCACATCATCATCATCCGACAACGAATCCCAAGAACCCCAAAAAAAAATTTCTTCGGAAAGTCGTACTGAATTTAGCGAACGGTGTAGGGAGAGAGTGTGCAAACATAGAGAGAGAAATTGAGAACCCCCAAAATTGAAACACCTAGTTGTGTCATAAGGGCTAGTTTTGTCCTTTAAATTTTTTTTGACCCTTTACGTGACTTGAGTGCTCTCATTTCTGTTAAATTTTTAACGGTGGGTTAATATTTGCAACAAATTGAATAGTTTAGGGAGTTAAGTGTCTTTGTCATAGTTTAGGGGGGTTTTGTGGGAGAGAGAAGAAAGCTCAGGCTGGTTTAATGCACTTTACCCTTTATTTTATTTATTTATTATTTTTATCATGTTGAATGTGTCCCCCTAAAATAAAATCCTTACTCCATCCCTGCTTTTGGGAACTATTTTGTTTCTGTACCTCTTCATCATTTTCAGATCTCCTCCTATATTTGAGGACCAGATCCCCCCATTTCAGAGTCCAAACATTAATATTCAAAACCTTGATCTAGAAGAAGTATGCAATATCGACAATATTAACAGCACACACACACACACAACAAACCTTGATGAGTGAAGAGAAATCCCTTACTGAATCACACTACCTAATCACCATCACATCCTCTTTCTCCTCATCCTCCTCCGTCAAATCCCAAAACCTGAATTGAATTCCAAAGCCAAAACCCAAACCCTATGATTCATCCTCCAAAAAACCACACACTAATTCCTCCAAATCCGATGACAGCATCGGATCATCCATCAACAACAAGTCCCAAATGGTCCCAGAACCATCCCACAACCCCCCTCGCTTTCTTTACATTCTTCATCTACCAATCTTGGTAATCTCTCTCTCTATATGTGTGTGTGCGTGTATATAATGTATGCTTATGTTAAAATCCCCAAAGGGGCAAAGGGACATACTTGGGCCCTGTTTGGGAACCACTTTTGGTTCGTGTTTTTGGTTGTGGATGGTGTACTATAGCGAAGCAAAACACAGAAACATGTTTGGCAACTTTTGTTGTGATTTGAACAGTATTGTGTTTGTTTCTGAAAAAGAGGCCAAAACCAGAAACACGAATTTGGTCTTTCCGGTTGTTTCCGCACTGCAGCAACAACACTGCAGCGATGAAAAACTCTTAAATGACCTTTTTAACTAGCTAATTTATTTTTCAAACTTGCAATAGATTTTTTACCAAACTTGTTTTCATGTTTTTTATTTCAAAAATCTTGCAACAAATTTTATGTTACCAAACATGCTTTTTTTTTTTTTTTTCCTTCATGTTTTAGACCCTTGGTGTGTGAGTTTATATAGGCTTCCTTAAACATTGCCTCATCAGATGTTAAAAAAGTGTCTATAAAATGAGTTTTGTTTACATCTCATCTGGTTTTTAGTGTTTATGGAACCTTATCTTGGAATGACTAATTTTCTTCACCTAATAACTGAAGGTTCTGATTGCAATATGGACTTGTTGAATACTAATAGATAATTGATATTCTTTGTTGTCACTTTGTGGATTATGAGGATTCACCCTTGAGCTTTTTTTATGTCTGTGCAGTGACGCAAATCTTGTTCATCTTTGCTAAGATGTTCAACAAAGCACGTGAGGAGAATGCACAGAAGGCGGATGCTGAAAAGAAGAAATTGGAGAAGGAAGCCAGAGAACAGGCGGCAGCTAATTCTTCCACAAGAAAAGAGGGGATTAATGCTGATCGCTCAAAACCTAATCAGCATATCGGAGACATGATCCGTGATCAATCGCTATTGATAAAGAAGGGTGAGAACCATGGTACTGCCGGCTGATGTGGCAGGCAGACTGAAAATTACATTCCAATTTACGCATGAAAATGTTGGCTCACCGTGGTGGTTCACTCAGGTTGTGCTTCGTGCAAAATCATGATGTTGAATTGCACGACTAATTACATGTTACATAAAATCTTTCACCAAACTCAGTGTATACTCCAATTTTGGCGTTTTCATGGCAAGTTAGCATCGTCTAATATGCTGCCACCCTTTTGCTCTAGGCCATTTTTGTACTGTTGTCAAATATTGAAGGCAGCCTCCAGATGGCGTGTACAAATTGTTCATATTCCACTGCACAGCTTGTACATGAAAAGAAAGCTTGCTATTGTGGGATAACTTTCAGTTCACATCTCCACTCCATGGAAAAGAAAATCTCTCTCTCTCTCTCTTCTCTCTTCTCTCTCTTCTCTCTTCTCTCTTCTCTCCTCTCTGTATATATATAGTTTCAATTATTTCAGTTTTACCTTTTGAATGTCACTCTAGAATCCATAGTTTTGTACACCCATTGCAGTCCTAAAAAATTGAGGTTATGCGCACACATAAAATGAGCATCTTTTCCATTTTAGCATTCTTTTTCTCAAGTAAATATATTCTCCCTATTAAAATAATTGGCGCAGCTTGAACTCTTCAACTTTTTCGTGAGCCAACAGTTGAGTTGTAAGTATTGCCATTTGCCAATCCAACTTCCCATGTTTATTGCAATGACTACCAAGAATGTGAAGTTACTTCGTTCGTTTTAACCAATTTATATATATATATATATAAGTGATGGCCTGGATAGGGCTTTGAAAGACTTGAAGAATTTGGCATTTATGAAAGAAAAAAAAAATGATATGTTGTACAAAAGTTGGACTAATTAGATTTTGTAAGTGGAATTGACATCATCATGACACTTACCATCTTAATGATGTTATCACCTACTCATGCAATTAGATGTCGAACACTGTATCATGACTATTATGAAAATCTTGAGTCATATTTTTCCGTAAAATTTCTCTTCATATGATATAACTATGGGCTGGAGGCGGTATGGTTAAATGATTTAATAATAAATAAACAGAATGGCGTTGAAAATCAACGCCGCTTTAACCCATAAATAATATTTCATCAAACAGAAATTGTTCTCACTTTTAATCCTACTAGTGCAGCCAAAATATCACTTTGCAGGTAGGGTTTCTTGTCCAGTAAACAACTGGAGTGAGTGAGAAAAAAAAAAAACACACATTCATCACTTCTGTTAGATATTTGATATATCTAACATTTGTGATTGCATTAAAATAAATTTGAATTAAAAAAATACGGGCAACTACAAACTTTGACCGGACAGAAAAAGAATATGCAAGGGCAGGAAACAGGAAACAGCTTGTCCACAAGAAGCACCATCCTCTTGCTATCAGCAGATTCGCTGCAGCAGTTCATATCCCGTCTCAATCGCGCAAATTACTAGAAAGTTAAGCCATGCATGCAAAAGCAAAGTATCAGAGATCAGATTTCTAGCTAGATAGGAATAGGATAATGGTGCAAGATACAAGGACTTGAAATAAATGTGCACTTCTGAACATCCGTGAAGAAACAGCTACTGATGATTTCTCTATTAGGCAAATCTTATCCCAACACATTTTCACAATTGAAGTTCGTAACCAGTCAACCCTATCAAGGGCTCTATACAACATAATAACAATACATGAATCACGAATCTACCACCCCTTTGCATATGAAACACCACCACCCCATCATCCGATCAGTAAAAAGATGCATCCATATAACAAAAAAAACCCTTCAACAAAAACTCAACCTTCTTCATGAATCAAAAAAATGCAGTGGAGAATCCAATACCATTCACTCTCCCAGCCATTTTATGTGAGGGAAACCATGCGAGCCAGTGAATAGTGCTCTTGTGGCATGTTTTCATTACAATGCCCTCTTATCCATCCTCTTTTCGGTTTGGTACAATTGCTTTCTGCTTCCTATTCCTTGGTAACCCACCTATGGCCATGGACTTGATACCCACCATAGCTTTGATCACTGCTACTCTCCCCACCGCTTTCTCCACTTGTATACCCTGATTTTTTACGGTGCTTCTTTCCCCTTGAGACTCCACTATCACTGATGCTTCCGATTAAGAGGGGGTCATCAATTCCACGGATAACTCTCTTTGCCGAAGATGTGGCAATGCAACTGTCATCCTTTGTTCTTCTCTTTTCCTTGTCGTGCCTCTTTATGTTCTGGGAGATCTTGTGTAATTTCTCATTGAACCTTGTGATTCCTTTCTCCACAGGCTCCACTGCTTGGGTTACCGTAAACTTCACATCATTCACAATCTGTATGTAAGGAGGTGAAGCAGCATTATTAGTAATTATACAATTACAGACGTGCACAAAAGAGATTTACTTGATCAAAGCAATTTATAGATGAAAATAAGATGCTGCATTAAAGGAGCATCTATAAAGAGCTAGTAAATGCATCGTTATGATATTTTCAACTTTTACTTGATGTGCTTGCAGTAGCCAATTAGATCTGAAGTGAGATCGATGATTGATATCATTAGCTTTATACAAACAACAAACACACACATTAACACATGAAAAACCAATTTACACTGGTGTAGGATTTGTAATGCTTATCCTCTGACCAGTGTTTATTCATTTACCCAAAAATATAAAAAATAAATAAAAATAATTACACCCCAGTGATTTTTTGAGTTACATATTTTGTCAACCCACCGTGTATAAGATTAGATTAACATGCTTGTCATGCATACCATATACTGGGTTAACCAAATATGGGTAGTTCTCAGACAAAATGAAGTCACATTTAAATAAATAAATAAAACTTTATAGTTTGACTCTGATGAGACAGCAGACAGTTTCATATCGCCTTGATATATGGCAAGCATGACAAGCATGGAAGCAGTGTTTAATAAAACGGTAGAATTCACAGATATTAGGTTCCACTAATTGTTTTGATTATGAAAAGAAATTCTTGAAATAGGTGTAAATTAATCATTTTCTCTCATATATCATCCAATAAGTATTTCAACACAATTAGTGTGTGTGTGTGTATGTATTTTACCTATATGTTACTTATTTATATGAATGCATATACACATGCTACATATGTATGCATAGAAAAAAATAGGAGCAGGAACAAACTACTGGTATCTTCGCTTCAATTCAATGTATTTGGAAGCAGCAATATATGAAAGCAAGTATAAGATTTGGAAAAGAATTTTGAAGATGCATATTATTATTATTATTTGAAAAACTGTAAGGCAAATAAGAAAGTAGAACATCATTTTCCATCAATATTTCCCTTCTCCATACCACTACCATTATCTTTCAGTCACCACCACAAGTGCTGTTGCCACAAACCTCCAGCATCACCTGACGATATATGTTAGCACAGAAACGTAAATGTCATATTGCTTGTAACATCTGCCTCCATCATAACTGACACCGTTCCTACCTCTGCCACAATATATATCATCTCTGCCCCTTATATTACCACCAATACTCTACACTGCCACAAGGAAAAACCCCACCACCTCACTCAGCCACCCCCACCCTGCTGCAATTACAATCACTGCGATTCACAAAATAACAATTCCTGCGACCATTGGCTCTACTATGCAAACAAATGCTTTCTTATTGTTTCACAAACCTCGGCAAAATACACATGTTTTTTATTTTATTTATTTTTATTTACAGCAAAAGCAAAATAGGAGATGGCACAAAAACATTTACTCTTTTTGCTTCCCAAACCTCTGCCAAATATCCTACGAAGTGCACAAAACTAGAAAGGCCGTAAGTGATTAGCAATATTCTGCACAGACTGATTATTCAGACCCTAACGTAGATTCTCACACTTGGGGATTTTTATGGCACATAATAATAAATTAAAAAAAGAAAAGAAAGGAAGGAAAACAAGCAAAAGTAACAAACATGTACAAAATATCAATAATAGGGTTGAAATGTAAATGATATCAATTTTAAATTGCACAGAGTAGTACTTCGTGAACAAAGTCAACCAAATAATTTTCTGCTACTAGTCAATAAAATGCAACATAGCCATAAGCAGACCATAGAAGGGGAATTTATACGATAAGTTTATTCCTAGTTAATCTGTTCAAAATGACATTTTTCTGTTTCCTCATTTTGATACATATATATTTTTCTACTACAATCGATTTGAAAATAATAAATAAAGCCTTGGAACAAAATATAATGTACTAAAAAACAAACTCTTAAGTCTCCTATAAACAAGGATCATTGAAGCACAAGCTCCAAAAGCACCAAACCCCTGCTAACATCTCGTCAACATAACCAAATAGGATATTGTGCAAGAGCTAAAGAAGGGGGTGGCACCTTACTGGTTTTACCCAACACAATCTCTTCTTTCCCCAGAGGAGAAACTTCTCATCTGACTATCCAAAATAAATGTGAAATCAGATAATCAAGACCATCATCACATCAAGTTAGCATGTGACCTCCAAGATGAAAAGAAATTGCTGATCTCAACGTCTCCTACTTTGTGATACTACATTATTGTAGCACCATGATAACACTTCTACGTGCTCGCAAAAATTCAAAGTTTCCAGCTAACAGCAACACAAGTATTAGGTCAATAGAGCCGTACTCAGTATTTTTACTAGCCATTGAAATGACCAAGACAGCTCATACAGTCATATTTGAATTGGTAAAAGACAGAAGGATCTTACATATTCACCACCCCCAATGAAAACATCTCGAACACTTTCTCTGATGGTCATTCCACTCCTGACATCAATGTCAGGTTGGGGAAGGCGAAGTTTTGTAGGGCGCTCGCTATCCCTAACCTCATCAGGATCTAGAGGGCAGTCAACAGATGCATAGTCTCCAAGAACTGAAACACTTCCAGGAAAGCGGTCTCCCATTAGCTCGTACGGCTTTGCAGGGAACACATATAGGTGAACAACAGAAGCGATGCCCATCTGTGCTGGACGAATACAAACACCTGTTAAACTTAAATATTGTATACGAGAATATCAGCAGAAAAAGAAAAAAAGTAACAAGAACATATAGTCGACAAGAATGAAGTGAAAACTATAGCTGAATATTCCATGTTTTGTAGGCATCCAAGGAAGTCTTCCAAGGACAATTGGGGCAAAAGAAAATATAAAAGCGCCAAAATATAAAATATTTGGGTTGTTGAAGAAAGCAGAAAAATTCAAAAAAGTGGCTGCAAGAGACAGTGGATACCTTATTCCTAAAATACTCACTTGACAAACCTAACTTTAAATTTACAATTCTCCCAAATTTTATCAATATGAATATTACATCTGAATAAATAAAAGTCATCCACGACCTAAAACCCATTCATTGTGAGTACGAATTTCAAGACGAGCATCAACACCCTACTGGATTCAGATCATGAGAAGCCCAATTAAAAAGAAAATTCATCCAAAATAATAATAATAAACTTGGAAAATTGGTTCATATTCGAGCAGTACCTAGAAGTAGCTGGATTTTATTTAAGTTCTAAAATTTAATACAAGTGCTGTTGCTATATATAGTTGATCAACCTATCAATATTTTCCAATTTTAGTTTATGTGCTTTATACCATTCCTCGTTATATCCAACAATTCATCTTCCAGTATGTTGCTCTATGGAAATGATTTTATTGTGCTCATACAAGGCCAGGATTAACGAATAATAACTTTCTCATCAATATTTTTCATGTAAGAACAATCTTTTAAATCCAGAATTTCTTAAGAACAAGTGACAAAACCAGTTGAAGACATGAAAAAAGTGATAATCTAATGAAGACATTCTATACCAGTTAGCCCAGCACATCCAGACCCAAGGAGTCACATATCAATTTTCAGTTTTCACACAAATAAACATGTCCTTATTGAATGGATAAAAAGCCAACCAATTGGTCCATCAGATTCTGACCACATAGAGTAACAGTTGTCATTGAAGATCACTTGAAAAAAAGTCAAAGCAATCAAGGTAATAAAATATTCACTGAATATCCCCAAATGTGAAGTTATATAAAGTAGAACTTTTAATTCGTAAAATGAAAAAAATTGTATTCAATTGAAGACAACTACCTCTATACAAATGATGAAATCCTGTACACTTGACTTAAACTGCAAAGCTTGAGCTATTGGACTTTTAAATAAACCAAGGGCATAGAAAAGCGCAATAGCCACACCTTGCCACCAAGTCAAGAATACAATTGATTTAAATGTCAGAAACTTGAACAATGGTTTGATATGTGCCAGTTCATCACTTGTAATGGCATAAAATTGAACTAAACAATACAAAGCCCATGACTGACTGAAGTTTAGAACCACAGCAATGTAAGGATACCTACAAAAACAAAATAAGGACTTAGAGCATAGCATTATTGAATATATGCCGGTATGATGGTAACAATTGAAAATATTTTCTAAACCAAAATAACATAATTGCATTATATAATACACAGAAGCCAGACGTTTTACAAGTTAAAAGAAAATCTCACAAGTTAACTTTGAAGTCAAAGCTGTAGCACAGGCATGCAGAAGAAATCAATAAGCAGTAGAGAGCATTCAAGTGCTGCTTTACTTATGATTTGAGAGGGGTATCCGCAGGTATTCTACTGACAGAATTTTATTCATTCTGCCTGCACAATTGGACTATTTAATATCTACATAAAGGAGATTTCCAAACATCCGTGAAGGAAAAATGATTAGATAGGTCATAGAATCATGAGAATTTTCAATCAGAGAACTCCATCTCCAACCACGACACTAGGTGGTATGTCAACATATCAAAATAATAGGCGATTTCAAGATTGAAAGAAAATCTGTATATTGCCTTCCTTTGAATGGTTTACAATGCTTTAGTTAAATAGGACATACAAGGGGCTAAAAAAAGGAAACTACAAGCTGACTACAAGCTGTGACAGCAAACTACAGGCTGTAATTACAGGCTGTATACTAACAGAAGCTACAGGCTGTGCACTAATAGAAGCTATAGGTTATACACTAAAATATCCCCTAAAATCTGGTCATTGACTATCTATATTTACACGCCTATCATATCCCCTAAAATATGGTCTTATTAAAACCAAATATCTCTTTTTCAACACTCCCCCTCAAGCTGGCTTGTAGATGTCTTCCATAGCTAGCTTGCTTCTTAAAACTTCAAACTGTTTCTTGTGTAGTCCTTTGGTAAGGATGTCTGCAGCTTGTTCAGTAGTAGAGACATAAGGAATGCAAATCATACCACAGTCAAGCTTTTCCTTGATAAAGTGTTTGTCAACTTCCACATGTTTGGTTCTGTCGTGGAGGACTGGATTATGAGCAATTGAAATGGCAGCTTTGTTGTCACAGTAGACTCTCATTGGAGGAGAAACAATAACCTTCAAATCTTCAAGGAGTCTTTTTAACCATATAGCTTCGCAAATCCCATGGGCGAGTGCTCTGAACTCGGCTTCTGCACTACTCCTCGCTACTACATTTTGTTTCTTGCTTCGCCACGTGACTAAGTTTCCTCCAACGAAGGTGCAATATCCTGAGGTAGATCGTCTATCAACTATACTGCCTGCCCAATCAGCATCTGTGTACACCTCCACTTGTAAATGACCTTGTTTCTTGAACATAAGTCCTTTACCTGGTGAGCCCTTTAAGTACCTCAGAATCCTGTACACTGCTTCAAAGTGTTCCTGTCCAGGAGAGTGCATGAACTGACTCACCATACTGACTGCAAATGCTATATCTGGGCGTGTGTGAGATAAGTAAATTAGTCTTCCCACCAATCTCTGATATCTTTCACGATCAACCATATTCTCGGGTTCGGCAGCTTCTAACTTCAGGTTGACTTCAATTGGAGTGTCAGCAGCTTTACACCCGAGTAGTCCTGTCTCATTAAGCAAATCAAGTACATATTTTCGTTGATTCACGAAAATTCCTTCTCTTGACTTGGCAAATTCCATTCCAAGGAAGTATTTTAATGCTCCCAGATCTTTGACTTCAAAATCTTTAGCAAGTTTCTTCTTCAGTCTGGTCAACTCTTCAATGTCATCACCTGTCAAAATTATATCATCCACATACACAATTAAAATGGCAATTTTCCCTTCCTCACCGTGTTTGTAGAACATGGTATGGTCTGCCTGACTCTGATGATACCCATGACTCTTCACAGCCTTTCCAAAACGTTCAAACCACGCTCTTGGAGACTGTTTCAAACCGTACAGGGATTTTTTGAGTTTACAGACTTTGCTCTGACTGTGTTTTCCTTCGAACCCAGGTGGCAAGCTCATAAACACTTCTTCTTCCAAGTCTCCATTTAAAAAGGCATTTTTTATGTCCAATTGATGTAATGGCCAATTAGAATTGACTGCCAACGACAATAAGACTCGGATAGAATTTATTTTTGCTACAGGAGCAAACGTCTCTTGGTAATCAATGCCGTACGTTTGCGTAAAACCTTTCGCCACAAGTCTTGCCTTGTACCTTTCCACACTATCATCAGCTTTACACTTAATAGTGAAAACCCATTTACACCCAACAGTTTTCTTTCCTTTGGGTAAGTCAACTATTTCCCACGTTCCACTCCTTTTAAGAGCATTCATCTCCTCTAACACTGCTGATTTCCAATTCGGATCATCTAGTGCTTCCTGAATGTTTCTTGGAACAAACAAGTGAGAAATATTTGAAGTAAAGGCCCTATGTTTATGGGAAAGTTTATCATAAGACAAGTATTTGGCAATGGGATGCTGGGTACAGGTTCGGATTCCTTTTCTAACAGCTATAGGGATATCAAGGTCTACAGGAACTTGGCTAGGTGTCTCTGTACGATTAGAAATAGTAGGGACAACTGTAGACAAGTTAGGATTTAGAGTACCTTGAGTGTTCAGGGAGTCATTGCTCGGGACCTCTGATTGGCCTTGCTCAGGTACAATAGTAGGCTCTCTACTCTTTTGATGAGTCTTTTTTCTGTTATAAACCAGAAGCTCAGGATTCGGTTTTTTTGGAACCGTTGGTAGGATTTCCCCCCCTGTTGGAGATACAGTAAGGCTCGGCAGATTAGGACTAGGAGGCCCCGGGTTTCCTGATTCTAGAACATCATTTTCTTGTTTAAAAAGATCAGTGTTTGGAGTAGAGTGTGAGACAATAGTTTTAGGTAAGGGAATATTAGTAGAAATCTCCCAAAAATTTTCTTCACTCTCTTTCTCCCCCTGAAGAAAAGTTTTCTGAAAATAAGGATGATTTTCTAGAAAAAAAACATCCATACTGATAAACATTTTTTTTGTTGTCGGATTGAAGCATTTGTACCCCTTTTTATTCGGGGCATACCCAACAAATACACATTTTTCAGCCCGAGGATCCAATTTAGATCGAAGTCTACTAGGTAAATGGACAAAGACAGTGCACCCAAATACTTTCAAAGGCAGGTTTGAATAAATCCGAGTTTCAGGAAAAGATTTTTTAAGGCTTTCAAGGGGTGTAAAATAGTTAAGAACACGAGTAGGCATCCTGTTAATCAAATATGTTGCTGTTAAAACGGCTTCACCCCACAAATACTTAGGAACATTCATTAAAACATGATGGCACGAGAAACTTCAAGTAAATGTTTATTCTTTCTTTCAGCAATTCCGTTTTGTTCGGGTGTGTCAACACAAGTGGATTGGTGAAAAATTCCTTTTTCTGTTAAAAAACTTCCTAAAACTTCATTAAAGTATTCGGTGCCGTTATCAGTATGAAGAATGCCAATTTTTGTTTGAAATTGATTTTCAATCATCATATAAAAATCCTTGAATAATTTTTCAACTTCAGATTTTTCATTCATTAAATACACCCAACACAAACGTGTATGATCATCAATAAAAGTCACAAACCATTTTTTTCCAGAAAGAGTTGTGATCCTAGAAGGGCCCCAAACATCGCTATGGATTAAATAAAATGGTTTTGATGTTTGGTAAGGTTTAGGAGAATACGTAGTACGATGACTCTTTGATAAAAAACAATTCTCACAATAAAAAGATGAACAATCCAATCCTTTAAACAAAGAAGGAAATAATTTTTTAAGATAAGGGAAACTAGGATGCCCTAGTCTAAAATGCCATAGCATTATTTGTTCTCTAACAGGGATAGAACGAAAACTACTCAAACCTTGAGCCTTTTTATTACTTGAAATATCATCTTCAAAATAGTAGAGACCATCTATCATCTTAGCACTGCCAATCGTCTTCCCCAAGCTCTGGTCCTGAAATTCACAATAGGATTCAAAAAAGATAACACGACAATTAGAGTCTTTGGACAATTTACTAACTGATAAAAGGTTACAAGCAAGCTTAGGGACATGAAGGACAGACTTAAGATCAATAATTTTTGAAAGTTTCACTAAACCTTTGCCTGCAATAGGAGAATAAGAACCATCAGCTATTCTGATTTTTTTTTCAGAGCCAGAACAGGGTGAATAAGTTTGAAATAAATGAGAACAACTTGTCATATGGTCAGAAGCCCCTGAATCAATGATCCATGGGGTAACACTGGAATTTGAACGACAAGATAAGGCCTTCGGGTTGTTACCTGTTTGAGCAAGAGAAACATTAGGAGTACCAGATGAGGAATTGAATTTCAGCAATTTTAGAAGATGATCCATCTGTTCTTTGCTGAAGGGAAGTGCCTCGGCTTCATGAGCTGATGGGGCTCGGTTGAATCTGCCTTCCTGGTTGAATCTGCCTTCCTGCTTACTCTTCCAATTCGCTGGTTTACCATGAATTTTCCAGCAGGTTTCACGGGTATGGTGAGGCTTGTTGCAGTGGTCACACCAAAGACGGGGCTTTTCATTATGTTTCCTGCCAATATTCGCTTCAGATGCGACCAAGGCAGAGGTCTCAACAGCACCATTTGATAACTTTTTTCCAAGCATGACCAGCCTGCGACTTTCCTCTCTTCGAACCTCGGAGAAGACTTCACCGATTAAAGGCAAGGGTTGTCGTCCAATTATTCTGCCTCTCACTTCATCAAACTCGACATTGAGTCCAATGAGAAACTTGAAGATGCGGTTGTCTTCCACCTTCTTTTTGTAATGGTTGCAATCTTCAGGCGATTTCCACTCATAATCGCTGAACAAATCAAGGTCCTGCCACAAACGTTTCAGAGAGTTGAAATATTTTGTAACACTGTTATCTCCTTGACGGATCTCTCCGAGTTTCAGCGTTAGTTCATAGACTTGAGACTGATTTCCTAGGTCTGAATACATTTGGTTGACATTGTCCCAAAGTTCTTTTGCTGTGTGGTAACACATATAATTAGAACTGATGTCCTCCTCCATAGAATTCACCAACCAGGTCATCACCATCGAATTCTCTGCATCCC